TCACTGAATAATAATCAAGTAGGAGGGGAGGGAAGAAAATTAAAGAAGATGCCTAAGATGTATTAGGAAAAAAAACATATTATATTAACTAATTTAATTAGTATCTTTAATCTTTTCGAATTAAATTAGTTAATTAGCTACCGGAGGATTATTAATTATGTATGACATGAAGCGTGCGTTAAGGAATAATGCTTAATAATTAACAATTTCCATCACATCTAAAACGCAAGTTGTTTTTTTTTTCCAATTAATTTTTAGAGTACACTGTTTCTTTTTCTTCAGGCTCAACTTCGTCACGTCGTGCTGCGTATATATGGACAAAATGGCTCTTTATAATATTCGACTGCTAATTTTAAAGATGATAATCCAATGTTTGTGTTTAATCTAGATCTTCTAGCTCAACAAAAATACATTCTAAAATATTGTACTTTTATAATTGCCAAATTTGTAGCACAAGTGTGATTTTTGGTTAAAAATATAATTAAAAAAATTTAAATTTTGAATACGAAGAGCTATCAAGCGAATGAGCATCCAAATATCCATGTGCTTTTAAACAAGTTTTAATTTTGTGATTTCCTTGGCTGTCTTGCAGTAATTAAACAAAGCAAATGGTGTAAATGGAAGGGGTGTTCAGTTTTTAAAACAAGTGATTGGAGTTTTAATTTTCGATTTTTGTGTTAGGGAAATCTTAGTTAATTAGGGGAACGTATAGAGCTTAGCTACCGATATGGGAAAAAGACATGCATTTTTATATTGAACAATAAACATATATGATTAATTAACTCTTAATTATTGTACTATTATTATAAAAATTTATAGTAGTGGACCAAGACTATTTCCAAAGTTGGAGTCAATTTTATTATTCGTAACTTGCTCATCATCAATTTAATTAATTCAACTAACGTAGGAGGAAATTATTTTTTTATCATATGGGGTTTGATTTTCCCACATTCACATACATGAAAATTTAGTTTCTTGGGAAAAAAAAAACTCTTTGAACATAACCTTTATATATCCTCAATATCATAATATAACAAACTAGTCTTCATCACAAGCAAAGTAAAGAACAGTCTTAAATTAACGATCTCTTACGCTAATGATATGAAAGTTTTCTTCAAAATAAGGAAAGGTACGCTATTTTGCCTGGCTTTTCAAAGATTTTTCTTTTTTTTTTTTTAAAAAACAACTTGGTTATTGAAAGATGCCAAGAAGATAACCACGCGGGCGTGGAAACAGGATAACACTGCAAAAGTCCAAAGGGAAAACAAAAAATAATAAACAGAGCCACCACGTTATTAATTAAGTACTGATCAAAAAGCAACTCGCTAATTTTGTGAAAACCAATATCCTACTATGTAAAGCTGGCAGAAAAAAGCTACTATATAAAACGTTGGGAAAAAAAAGTTGAGTAATAAATTTTTAATTTTAAAAATAGATGTAATATTCCGGCAAACTTACCTCAATTTTGTAAATTTTGGGTGGATCTAACTTTCCTGCCCACAACCCATCACACAACCGTTAACCCTGCAGTACGGACTTGGATTTATTATAATTTAGTTAGCAGAGGATAAGGGGAAAAGAAGAAAGGGTATATTTAATCTTGAAAATTGAAACAACAACCCCCCAAAAAAAATTATGAGAGAAAAATTTGGGATTTACAAGAATTATATGTAGCTTACAAGCAGAAATACTGTAAGTCCATAAAAAAGGATCAGTCAGGGACGAAGGAGAAAACAAACAAGGGTGGAGCCAAGCGGTCGCGGTTCTACTTAAATATGCAACAAAGATTTTTCCTTAAAAAAAAACTAATATAATGAAACAAGAGACAATCTCGCAACAAAAAGTTTGAAATTAGTAAATCACAAATCAAATTTGTTTCTCACACTTTAATGAGTTTTGACAACACTTGATTTATAAATAACAACATACTTTTATAAAAAAACTTTATTTGAAATTTAGTAATTTCAACATTATTATTTTTGGATGCCAGCCCTCAACTCGCGCCCTGTGGTTTGAAAGAATAACTGTAAACCACAAAGGCACGGCATAGCGAACGTAATTCCAACATTCTTTTTGTATGATTCTCCCATGAAACCGAGGGAATAGTTTAAATATTACCTCCAATTTTTAATATAAGAGCTAGTTTGTCTTTTTAATTTGGTTCTAAATATAAGACTCCAATCTACTTTGTTTCTCATATTTATTCATTTTTTTTCAAAGTGGTCCTTATAATAGTTGTATAAGTTAAAAGTTCTATCAAATGGTAGCTCTAGCTAATATACATGATTAGTAAAGATATTTTAGGAAAGATAATATCTATTTATTATAAATAACTAATATAACAAACTTTCTTAATATATTTAACTTAGTCAACTAGCTCTTATATTTTTTTTTTTTGGACTCAAACTAGCTCTTATATTAAATACCAGAGGTAATAGTCATTTTTGCTAATGCTATTAAAAGTTATCATCATAAAAAATAATAATAAATGATTCTAAAATCTAATAAACAAGAAAATCGCAATAATATATTCAATGATGTTTAAAAAAATAAAAAGACACCAAATAGCTCAAAAGAACTTTTCCCTTCAAGTTTTGAATGTGAAGTTGACCGACGACAGAGCTAATCTATTGGAAAGACAAGCAAAGATTGATAGATTAGGAGATAAATGATTAGTTGATGGATGAAGCATCTTTATCCCACGTTCCCAAGCAAAGAAGAACAAAATGGTTTGCCTCCTCCTGTTGCATGTCCCTAACGGCAACAACTCAACTGAAAAGAAGAACAGCAAGCCATAAAGTGATTTCAACAGATTAATCACAATCCAGAATCATGAGTGCAAGAAAACTTGATGAGATCATATTCAAAAGCTGGAACAGGAGACATGATTTTGAGAACAAGGAAAAGGAGATGAGGGGGGATTTGAGGGTATTTTTTATCTTTTTACATTGGATATTAACGACTAATAAGACTTTTTCAAATAAGTAATGGGATGGAATTCCTAGAAGAGAGGTATGAATGGGGACTACCAAATTGTTGGTAATTGTCATTACTATGCAAACCTTATTAACATACCAAGAAGCAACCAAACATCCTCTTCTTGGTAATGCAATTATCATTACTATAGTAGACGTGCACCAGGGTTAAACCAAATGGGCACTAAGTCTTACTACACTAAGTGGGAATGCTTACACATCGCACAATGTTATTGTACAAAAAGTAAAACTTGAGTTGAGAAGATGAGGAAGAAAGAAGAGTCAATGAAATGAAGCATGATGTTGAAGCAGAACAAAGTTCATTAGATTTAAAAAAGAAGCAAAGCAATTACTTTCAGATACCTTAACTCTAAGAGTATAAATGCAACAAATACATGTCGCTTTGTTCTTCCCCCGTCCTATCCCCAAAGGTGATTACTGTATGGGATCACATTAACGGTTTTTATGTTTTCTAAAAATAGGTTAACTTGTAGTCTATCAAGATGTCAAAGACCAAAATCCTACTTCATCCATCCACTTATAATATATCCATACATTTGAGATTGGATATATTATAAGTGGATGGATGAATAATTGAATATATGCTTAACACGTTCTTTTCCTTTAGAATGACTAAAAATTAATCTTCCACATTGCAATCCAAAACCATACAATTAAAACAGTACCCTGAGAAGGATATAGCAGCATTGCCAGTGTCTGCTGCAATATATTATAACACTGCCCATAATATTGTGCAGTAGACGGAGACCACAAAACCAGCAGCGCAGAAACAGAAATTGTCAGAGAAGGTAGCTCTAAGAGAGTACGAACACACAAACTTCAGGATTCAATGAAATCGTCCAGTTTACTAGCCTGGTCAAGCAACAACAGGAGGGAGTCCTCCACAGAAACTAACTCCTTCTTGATGGACTTAAGTTGAGCTCTCAGGCTGGAAGCTTGGCCTTTGTTTTCCTCAACCTTCCTTTTGATGTCTTCTCCATCACCACACTCCCCAATGCATTCACACCCGTAGCTCAGCCATGAAGCGTCGAAACCAACCACTTCTAGGACGCTGCAACACTCCCTGATGTAGTTTCGATCATCTTCTGTCAAGTGGCGTTTTCGAGTGGTCCTTAGAAGGCGATTCACCTTAGCAAATAAGGAATATGAGGAGGGAGCAAACACTTTTCTTCTCCTTGGGTTGAGCCAATTAAGCGCTTGAGGATGGCACTTCACCTCAGCTTCCACATTTGGCAACAATTGTACGGAAATTTCAACCTCTTTAAAGCTGCTGCAAACATCTGCTACTTGTGTTGTTGATGAAGATGAAGCTTGTGAAGGAGCTGGATCAATAGCTCATTAAATAAGTTAAAAAAAATTCAGGAAATAGGATGATGTAGGTTTTGCAACCAAAAAAAGGGACTAAAAACGCCTTATGTGCTCTATTTTCAGTCATTACAGGGTTTGTAGTCTGACAAGAAAAGTTAATTCGGAGAATTATTCCGGGATCGTCTGATTTTTCCTCATATATTTCAACTCACACAACAAAGTGTTTGAAAAAAATAATTAATTAATAAAAGGGAGATTTCCATACAAATTAATGAGTTATTAAACATCACTGGATCAATAAAATAATGGGAGTTAAAATGAAGTAGAACCTTGAGAACCATAGCTGATGTATTAGACCCTGTAAACAAAAAAAAAAATTAAAACAATTCGACGAGCATTTGATCCTTTATAGAAACTTGCAGACCACAAAATAATATGATATATCAATGCCTGTATCGTAAAGCAGGGTAGGACTCAACACATTTTGGGCATCATGAACTAAGAACGTCCTCTTGGATTCATACGTCTCTTGAATCCCCACAACCGGAAAGGAATTTCTTAGAAAAATTAGGAAATATAATTATACAAGATTTTGGCAAAATTGAAATAATTTTTCCCTTGAACAAGTTAAAAGAAAGCATTGCTTTCTTTGTAGTCTGTAGTTACAGAAGTTGTGGTCTAGCGGAACAAATTCTCACTAAGGTAAATATTTGAGTGGTGTGATTCTTCTTTCAATTAACACAGTATAACAAATTAAGATATAAAATAGTTATGGCAATTTTGGAGACAACAAAACCAGGTTCATGAAATCAAACCTTTCTCCCGTACTATGGTAATGTTCCATGTGTTTTGCATAGCTTGGACGAAGGGTTTATCAATGCTCTTATGCGTCACATGAGTCCTAGTATCTGCACAAATAAGCAAAACAAACCAAAAAAGGAAAAGAAATGTTGGCAAAATACACATAATTGTTTTCCTTTCCAAAATGTATAAAATGCATTAATCAATACCTATGTCCTAATGAACCGAGGCAGGGATTAACAAGTCTTCTAGTTGGTTGGGCTGGACTAGGTTTCGGGCCAAACAATCAGACTGCTTGAACTGCTGGTCCGATTTGGTCTAGTGAATTTTTTATATTTGTAATTTAGATATTATCTCTAATTATTTTTAATGTTGTTAGAGATTTTTATGTATTTATGATTAAGTTTTAATAGTCTAGAATGAGTTATTTTTTAATTGTCTTAATTATATTTATTATGTTGAAATCTTGCTTCCTATAGAAAAAAATTTAAAAGGAAACAAAAGACAATTGGGGTCATGGACTGTCTGGACCAGTCTGCTAGTGGACCAAGTCTAGTTCAACCTAACCTTTGGTTATTACTGAATTAGACAAGACTACAAACTACCAAATCAAACCTGAACAAGAATGATGCTAGACTTTGAGTTAGGTTTTGGTTCGGTCTAGTCTATTCGTCATTTAGCCCTACCTTGACATAATATAGACGCGTACCACCAACCAAGACTTTGACTCTTTGATATGGTCTCTTTTATTTAGAAAAAATTTCTTAAAAAGACACTTAAGTGACCCAAATTTTTATTTTGGTTATTAAATTTGTCAAATCTTTAATAAGGTCATGTGACCTAAAGAGGGATTTTTAAAATTTTATGAAATGACTCTAATGCCTATTTCATTAGAAACCAAAAAAGAATTCTAAGCTAACATGTTCCATTTCCTAGTTAATGCATTTCAATTCTGAATTAACAGTTTTCTATTTTCATAACACATTTGCAATTAGTCTTTGTGTAAAACTTAATCACAATATAATCTTGAAAATTAATAAGTTCAATTGTATAGTTAACAAGTTTCAATTTCAAATTAACAACTCTGTGTCCTCTTAACATTTACAATAAGCCTTTAAATAAAATTTTATCACAATACAATATTGAAAAGTAACATGTTACATTTCATGATTAATATGTTTCAACTTTAAATTAACAATTTTCTGTTTTTAAAACACATTGCATTAATCTTTAACAAAAAATGATCACCATGCAACTTTGAAAATTAGCAAGATCAATTATACAGTTAACAGGTTTTAATTCTAAATGAACAACTTGAAAATGATAGAAAATTCTAATTTCTCTTGGTTTCTAATGTAATAGATCTTAAAGTCATTTCATAAAATTTTAAAATCCATCTTTGGGTCATGTCACCTAGTTAGAAATTTGATAAATTAAATGAACCAAATAAGAATGAGTTGTTTAAGTGTGTTTTTGAGGGATTTTTCTTTTTATTTATGGCATGAAATATTTAAGTCTTTTTCTCGTGCTCCATCCATTCATATTGTGAGTCTTTTCTCCTCATTTAAGTTATTCTAAAATACAAGGTCAGTATGATAATATTTATAACATCTGAAATTTTTTTTCATCTTATCCTTCTGTACTATTAGATATATTACTTTTGACAAGTAATCGATTCATTATACTCCTTCGGTCCTTAATATATGATCCAATTGTCGAGTTGGTTTTTGTTCTAAATATAAGATCCATTTCTCATATTTATCAATTTTTTCTAAATTACCCCTATGGATATTCCTTCAATCATAATCAAGTAGAAAAAAAAAAGATGGGGTATTAAGAAAGATGATTATAGTGTTTTAGAAAAAATGTCACTTTTCTTATAATTAACTAACTTACATAATTTCTTTAATCTAATCAAATTAGTTAAATGAGTCTTATATTAAGAATCAAGAAGTAATTAGTTTCAGATAGTTTTGAATTGTGACAGGAATTTATATCCGCCCATTTTGCTTTGGAGTATAAGCGACGGATTCATTATAATTAATGTAACATTGACTTTTGACAAGGGCGGATTTGGATGGTATTATAATTTTTTTATTGGTATGCGTGTTGTAATACCCCAAATTTTTTAACTTACGAAAAGTAGAAAAGAGAAAATTTATTTAAAATTATTTAGAGCCTCAAAATTATTTTATTAGTTTAAAAGCCTATTTTCAGGTGAAATTTTAGGAAAATTAAGGAGAAAAATATTTATTAAAATTATTTAGTACCTAAGAAAATTTGGGGAACATTATAGAATATTATTTTGACAATTTAGAAAGTTTATGAAGAGGTTCAATCCCCCAAATATGGCTAATGATCTATTTTTTGAAAAATTCAAGCAAAAAATAGTTAGCGGCTTATATTTGAGCTAGAAATTTTTAGGATAATTATTTTATGTTATAAAGAGGCTAATTGAGGCATAAAATCCTTAAAATGAGATGAGGATTAATTTTTAGAATTAAGTGCTATTTTCTTAGAAAATTCAAGAAAAATAGTTGGGAATTGATTCTTGACCTGCAATTTTTATGAAAATTATTTCAGGGGTCAAGGAAGTTATTGGATAAGAAAATTTCATTTAAAATATTGTGAATTAATTTCTGATTTTATTTTACATTTTCAGAATCATGGAGGAAGGATGAAATTAGAAGTAAGGAATGAAATGAAGGGCATAATGGTCATTTCACTCTCCGCTACCCTTATTTTCTGCCAACGCACCTCTCCCTTGTCATTTTCATCGTGCTGAGCTTTTGAAGAGAGAGAGAGAGACCGAGAGTGAGAGTTGAGAGAAAACCAGAGATCGATGAAGCTAGAGGAGTAACCGGATGTAGGGAAGTTTACATGCAAACCGATTAATTGATCAAGGTGAGTCTCCTAAGCACACTTCCATCATTATTTTCTGCTTTGGGTGGCTGGATGTGAAGTTGATGATGACTTGAGTTTGGATTTAGTGAGAGAAAGTGAGGAAACATATGAAATAAGCAAGGAGGGTTGTAGATTGAAGCTTGTATGGTTAAAATATGGTGTTGCATGTTGATAAATCTGGTTGCATGTGGATTTTCTTCCTCTGGTTTCCAAGGCTGAAACAGGGATTAATGGTTCAAGGAAATGGCTCTGGCTTAATGAGAAAATAAAGAGCATATATGTGTGTATAGGACCGAGAGCTTGGGTGTGCAGTGATGGAGATTTAAATTAATGTGTATATATATGTTGTTAATGGCGTGAGGTGTAGTCACTACAAAAAAACATGCTTTTAGCGATGGAATTTAGTGACGGAATTTTTTATTTAGTGTTAGAATTAGCGATGGATTAGCGACGGAATTTGTTCCGTCGCTAATTACCGAGGGAATTTTTCCGTCGCTAATTCTTGACAGGAATTTCCGTCGTAAATTAGCGACGAAAAAATTCCGTCGCTAACTCGATTTTTTAAAAAATAAAATAAAATGCCACGCACCTCTACCAATTGCCATGTGATCACTGGGGACCACCTCCACGTGTCGCTGCTACCTCACATCTACTGCCACGTGTGCTGCCACCTCACCTCTGCCTGCCACGTATGCACCACGTGTCACACCTCTGCTGCCACGTGTGCGCCACGTGTCATCACTACATAATTCCCTCATCAAAGTGACTTCTCCATAACTTGAACCCAGGACCTCCTCCATGCGCACGTGCGGCTTTAGTAGTTGAACTGCAATGAACCTGTTGACTTATTATGTAAAATTAAATATATATTATATTATTTTACACAAACAATTATATATACATATCTATTATTAAAAACTAAAAATATACTATATGATAATTTTAATCATAACTATTTTAATGAAAAAATAATTTTTAAATATTTGTTTTACTATTTTTTATAATTTTTTATTTTTTAAAAATATTTTTAATATAATTTTAATTTCTAACGACACTAATTTTGAATTTCAAATCATAAATAATTTTTTATAAATATTTTTTAAATTTATTTTTTAATTAACATTGATAAGATATACAATTTAATTATATATATATATTACATTACATTATATTATATTATGTATATGTGTTTTATATATTTGAAGAAAATCATTTACAATTAGTCAAAAAATCTTGTTATTCAAAAAATAACTACTATAATAAAATCTAATAAATTATTCTCTATAAAAAATTAAATGATTTAAATAGATTATGATAAACAGTATTTTCCTACTTGTATATATATCCTATATAATTTATTTTCTTAAAATTTGCAACGGAATTTGTGATAAAAACAAATTCTGTTGCTAATTTCTAACGGAATTGTGATAGAATTTCCGTCGCTAATTTTTTTGACGGATTAGCGACAAAATTAGCAACGGAATTTTCTGAAAGAAAAAGATTCCGTCTCTAATTCTATCGCTAAATATTTATTGACGGATTAGCGATGGAATTTTCCGTCCCTAATATTAGCGACAGATTAGCGATGGAATTTCTGTCTGTCTCTAAATTCTATCACTAATCTGTCGAAAAAATTATCGACGGAATTCCCGTCGCTAATTTGCGACGGAATTTTTTTCCGTCACAAATTCGGTCGCTAATCAGCTGTTTTTTTTTGTAGTGAATTCTGGAATTGCAATTTTCAAAATTACAATGGTTGTTGTTTTGCATGTCCTTAGCTTCAGATTCTTGATTTTTGTGGTTATGGGATTCGGTCTCTATGACAATAAAAGAGAATGACGTAGTAATGTGGAATATATATGCGTATAAAAGTGTCCGAATGGTTCAGTGGAAAAAAAAAGGGGGAAATTGTTAAATGAAGTTATAAATTAAAGGAGGGGTTAGAGTTTTCCTACATGGAGTTAGAAAGTCATTGGTTTTAAGTTATTGGAGATTTTTAGAAGTTATTAAAGGGTAATTGCTT